ATCCAAACCCATCATTCATCTCAGGAAGCCCAGAAACAGTGCTTCAATCTGACATTAGTAGGGTCTTAGCAAAAGTAAGTAACTTAGGTGTGTGAGCAACTCGCCTGTGAAGTACGTTAAACCTCTATAAAGACCTAAAGCGTGTAAATAAAAAACTTGCCTAACTAGGTGCCCTACTACTAATAATAAATTCCTAAGCAGCTACAGCTGCTGCAGCTGCTAACCCTTAAATCTATGTGCTGCAGGTAAGCCTAGTAAATCTCTAGAATGCATTAGCTAAGAAAGCAAGCATTAAAGCTAAAAAGACTTTAAGACTAGCCTTTCTAAAGCCTTTTAGAGGATTACCTAAGAATCTCTAACCTTTTTTTACTTAATGCTATCTCTATATGCAATACAACAGAGGAGCATTTTAAACTAATAAAAAATAATATTATAGATAAGATTACACATAGAGGAACTTCTAGTAATCTAGTTCTAACTACACGTAAATAATTAGATAGATTTTAAAGCAAACAGCATAACACTAAACTTTAAAATAGAAGAAATCTTTAGTAGCCTTAACACTTTTAAAAAAGCCTTAATTACTCTCTATAAAATTATAGATAAGTAAAAAATTACTGCTAATAAACTTAATGCTTTAAAATAAGAAAAAGCAACTGCGCAGCACTACACAGCACACTTTAGAGAATAATTAGCAATCTGTAGATAGATAGATTAGAAAGCCCTCTGCTAAATATTCTATAATAGATTATAAAATATAATAAAAGATAAATTTACACATAATAAAAACCTAATAACTTTAAAAACTTTATTACAAAAGCAACACTTTATAATAATAGACATAGAAAGCGCAAATAAGAAAAACAGTGTAGAGAAGCTCTTTAGAAACCTAAGTTTGTTCTAAGAAAAAAAAAAGCCTTTTATTATAATAGAAAACTAATAGACCTTAGTTACATAAAATATACATGAAGCCTTTTTTTAAAGAAAAGCTAAGCTTCTAGACGTAATAGGCTGCCTTTAACTAAGAAGTAACAGAAATAGCTAGAGAACAAGGCCTGCCTAAACTATAGAAAAGTACGATATTTTTGCTAAAATTACCTAGACTCTTAGAAAAGAGAGAATAAAAATACTACTGTAATAATAAAAGCTATTACTATGAAATACAGCCTTATAGATAAGGAAATATTAGAAAAATTAAATAATAGACTTTACTAGTAATATAAAGAAAACTATTCTTAAAAAACTATTTTAAAGTGTAGTAAAAAGTAGTTATTATAAACTTTAGCAGCCTTAATTAAGTGTTACAGAACATTGTAATTCTTAAAAAATATAAAAAAAGACTTAAATCTAAGGATATATTATAAACATTAAGAAAAAAAGAAATAGTTCCTTTTTAATAATAAAACGCCTAGCACCTTAGTGTAAAAGCTTTCTAAAAAGTTCTAGAACTGCTTATGCTAGAAGTGTAGACAACAACGTAATTACTTTAGAAAGTGTGTAGTATTACTTTACTAAATAAACATTAGCAACAACTATGTAATATTTAACATAGTGT